AAACAGGTGAAACGTACCTGTGTTTCTTCCGGAGGGCACTAGCACGGGTTTACAAACGCCCAAGCCAAAAGATCAAGTTTCTGAGCTTGGATATTCCTGGCATTTTCAAGAAAAAGGAAGTTTTTGTGGAAACCCTGATTTTTAAACTGACCCCTTAGGTCAACTACATTCCCAGGAGGCTATCCTGGAGCCTCCTTCATTCCCGAACAGCACTATCCCAATATAACTCTTATGGCTGCTGTCATTGTACTTTGTATTTACTAACACCAAATTTCTGAGCATCACTGTTTCCCATTTGGGGGTGGGAGTCTGACAACCTCTTGATCTTTCTCTGCTGCAGCTTAGTCTTGCACTTCTTTTCAGAGAAGTAGTCCTCAGCTGTCGTAGCATTCATCCCCCACTCGTGTGTGTGAACTGCTCAAGGCAGTATTATCGGTGGGGCAGTAAGAGGTTGTCCCCTACATCTACTCAAGGCAGGATCGTCTTTAATAAAACCATCCCAAGTGTCTGTCCAGTCTGCTCTGAAAATGTGTCCAGGGATGGAGATTCCCCACCTTCTCTTGGGTTCCTGTTCCAATGCTTGACCACCCTCCACATCAGCAAGATCCTTCTAATCTCCAACCTAATTTTTTGTTGCTGTGGCTGGAGGCCATTGTTTGTAGTCCTGTCTCCTAAAGTTATGGAGCAAAGCCCATTTCCAGCCTGTCTGTAATCCTGCTTCAAGTATTTTGAAGATTATTCTCAAATCTTCTCTTCTCCGAACTAAATAACCCTAGTTCTTTCAGCCTTTCCTCATCAGTCTTGCTTCCTAGGTCTATAATCATTTGCGTCACTCTGCTGGACTCATTTCCAACCTGTCCACATCCTTCTTGAAGTGTGGGGCCCAAAACTGGATATAGATGAGGCCTCATCAGTGCCAAATAGAGTGGAAGAATGGCTTCCCTTGATTTGCAAGGGACACTCCTGATAATATAATCCGGTATACCACTGCCCTTTTTTGCAACAAGGGGACATTCTTGGTACATATTCAGCTTATTTTTATTCAGCTTTGTTTCATCCTAAATTCATTTAAAAATTTAGGACGGTTTTGTTCTGGGAATTTGTCTCTTCATGTTATAGAGTAGCAGAATTTATGGCTTTGCTTTTAATGTACGGTGCCCACAATACGTACCTTAAGAGAGACTCTGGGGCTGCATCCAGATGAGCATGCCACATGGTTCCCTGGGGACAGAGAGCAGTGGCACACATTTGTGGTGCTGCTGCTGGTCCTCGGGGAACACCTGTGCGCATACGCTTTGGTGTGTGACAAGCTGTACCTGGGGTCCTAGGAGCCTCCCAGGGCACAGTGATCCGGGCATGCAGCGCGTGGCTGACAGCTGGGGCATGGCTTCGGCCTGCCAGGCTCCAGTTTTGGGTGGCTCATGCTGCTGCCACATGCATTGCCCGCTTTTTTCTGCTGAGGATTATTTTGACACCCGCCATGCTGCAAACTAGCAGCACAGCAAACGCGTGCATGTGCGGTGTGTGTGGTCTGTAGCATTGCAGGCGGGTCTGCAGTGCTGCAAACTGTACATGCGTGCCCGTCTGGACATGCCCTGGCAGTTGTCTTAACTGGAGGCCATCTCAGGACAGGGGTATTCTCTTTCTGCCAAGGACTGACAGTTCTGGATCCACTCCTAAGCTGCAAACAGGCTGAAGTACCCATAGTAACAAATCTGCTGACCTTCTTCCTTGAAGAATACAAACTTCTTCAAGTACTAGTTTTCATCTCTCAGCAAGTCTGACCAGGGCAGACGTTCAGCTAACAAAGGCCTTGTCTGCACTAGGAGGATTTTGCCAGTTTAACTCTGCACACCCATATTGATATTACAGGGTTGTAGCAGGGTAGATGGTTTGGTGAGGGGTCTGCTTCTTCAGCATAGGCCAGGATTTCAGAATACGTCTGGATCTATCTATATATTTTTAATTCCCAGATGCTTTTGTTCTTCTTTGAGGATAAGAATCCCTTTCCCAGAAGGGGCGGTGTGTATGGGAATTCAAGAGAAATTGGCTATTGCCTTTGTCTTGGGCACCACTGTTATTTCAGAGCACAAATAGGACTGGATACTAATCATGGTGATTTCAGCTCCTGTATGAAGAGCTGAGCTGCTTTCCTAATTTGGGAAGAAATTTGCTAGTGGTGTTCCAGCAGGTGCCTTGGGGATTTTCACCTTTTTCTGGAGCATTGAGTAGGAATAATCTCTTAATATCTGCCGGACATAGCACACACGACTGACTTCCTTTGATGGAGCACTGAGGGAAACTGGTGCGTCCCATCTTCTAATCTGCATTTATATTAGACACTAGCATAGTGTAATTTAAATCCCACGTCAGTTTGAAAAGACCTGCCTCGGGGCTGGTAGTTGCCAGGAGTTTGAATGCACCGGTCATTTGAGTTTTTCTTACTTAAAAAAAAAAAAAAAAAAAAAAAAA